TTTCTTTATATTTCACATATGGTGTAACCATCCGGTATTTGTCTTTCTCCTTCTGACTTACTTCACTTCACAACATCCTCTCCAGTTCCGTCCATGTTGTCACAAATGGAAATCTTTTTAAAATTTATTTAAATTTTTTTTTACGTTGTGCTGCAATATTGGATTTCCACAAGTCATTCTCTGCCACGATCACGACATTAGGTGCTTCTCTGCAGAGCAGAACATGTTAGCCTCCCTTGGAAGCAAGGAACGAACATCTAGCCTGAAGAGACAGCTGAATGGGGGACATGGAAGTAACTAAGCAGAGAATGTCTGCATATGTGAGGCACTTGTCTTTGCTGAGAGCTAAGATTAAGTTCATGACTGTTACTGAGGAAGGTGGGTAGAGTTGACATCTTCCTTTTGGACAGAACGGCTTGGCGACATCAAAGGAAAAGTGACTTTTACTTTGAATCTAGAAAATGTAGGGTTTCACTGGGCTGGAGGAGAAGCAAATGGCTTGTGAACCACAAGAGTATTCCACAAATTCATATTCTTTTCTCTTTTTCATTCTGATTTCTTTTAGTCCCCTCTGCTCCTTTTATTTCCCTTAGAATTTGTATTAAATTCGTTATATGTTCTTAAGGGAGGGAAGTTCTCCGGGGTTTAATCAAGGCAGAAGATGCTATGAATAAAAAAGGTGGGAGGGTGGGAATCCACTGTGGATTCATTGAATGAAACCAGAGCTCCTCGCCAGTGCGTCTCCCCTTTCAAAGAAAAATATACCCTTCTCCTCCAGGAAGCGCTGAGTCTCAAAGGCCTTTATTAACTTGATCTTTGGGAATAGTGTTTTAATTTTCCATAATCATCATGCAAATTGATCATGATAATCTCTGGAAAGGAAAAAAGTGAGCCAGTGGCCTCATTAACCGCGGTGCTAGTGGGACCCGCGCGCCTAAGAGATGCTGCCCTCAACCCGGGCCTCCTTTGTGCGTGCCATGGTCCTGTCCCCAGGGCCAGCAGTGACTCCTTCCCTGCCCGGGCTGTGTAAATTGCCTCATGCATTTTACTCCCTCACAGCATCACAGGGGGATAATTTGAAAGGTCTCCACCTTATGAGAGGAGCATTGGTGTTTTGGTGTTTTGTTAAATTCCAGCCACGATCTGTACCTCTGCCTTGACATCAAACGTGCCCCTGCATGGCACGTTTTGTCCAGATCTCACCTTAAAGATCTCCAGGTCTCAAACTGCTGAACTTTGGGAAATAAATGGAATCCATCGGCATGAAAGTGTGAGGCCTGATCCCGATCACCAACTTGCTGAATTTGGGGGGCTTTTGTGGACTGTGTCTTAATTTTAATTTAATCTGGAGAAATACAGGGACAAGTACATTTGTCCAAAATAGGTTGAGTGACCGATTTTCAAGTTGGTTATTTAGGTCATGTAAGTGACCCTACTTTTTATTTTTATGAACTATTAAGTTTAGGAGAAAGCCAGTCAAATGTAACACACTTGTGTTGATTGCTGGCCAAGCAAGGTGAGACCCGTTCATCCTTGTCCTAAAGGAGGCAAATGGGTGAGGGTGGGGGGGTGGGGAGGTGAGGTAGTTGCCCAGCTGGGAAGTGGCCACATCATTCACAGATCCCCCTCATCATTAAACAGGATTTGATGCAACTCTTTGCAAATTAGCTTCTTCTGAGCTCTGGAGAGCAACGCTGTTTTCCAGGGGCCCTTAACCTGCTAGTGATTCGGGGCGATTCCCTGAGACTCTTAGAGCCTCTCACTTCCTAAAGCTCTGGGTGATGAGGAGAGTCGCTACGTGTCTGCCTCTACTGATTCACTCTATCTCCGGCTAAAAAATACTATCTCTTCCTCTCCTGGGGAAGACCGTCCCCTCCTAGTGAGGTACAGAGGGAAGATGCTCATCAAGTTGAGAGAGGGGAGGAATAACCATTGTGCAACATGAATTAGCTGAGTAAGCGCTGCCTTGCAAGACAAATCAGGGTCACATGTAGGGCTTCCCTTGGAAAAACTCCATTGAACTCACTACAGTGCGGTCTGGGTTGCATGCTCTTTAAAGTCACTGTCCTTATCTCAATAAGTGTTACAGTACAGAAATATTGACACCTGCTAGCTGGACAGGTTTGAATACAATGCGATTAAATATGCCTTCCATCAGTGTCGGTTGAGTGTCTGATATTGGTGGGCATAGGGCTCGGCGCTCCAGGTAGAACGGCCCACGACCCAGTTCTCCTGTAGGGAGGTGAATCCTTGAACACATAGGTGCTGTATTCACTGGGAGGATGGTGCATCTAGAACAAACACAAGGGCGATGAAGAGGGCTTGAGAGAGGGGAAAGCAATAGAACTAGGCCTTGAAGTTACTAGTGTGAGTTCTTCAGCTTGAAAAGTAGGAAAAAAAACACGTTATATTTTTGAAGGACCCTCAAGTTTCTCTTGGCAAACTAAGGTTAAGTTATCACATGGAAGTCACTAAACATGGTGTAAATAGTGTAGGAAGTTGCTGCTTAGAGGGTGTCATGATGGTGCTGTAGTTGATGGATCTGCCACTAGGCCTAGAAGAACACCACCTTCTGGAGATGTTGATTGATACTTTCGGGGAATACAGTTTTCTTTTAAAGTCAAACAAAATGTGGGGTGCACTGGCTGGGGCCCAGTTACCTAGGCAACATCTGCAGGGCTTATCAGAGCCTTTGGAACACTCCTCTGCATTGTAAACCAAGAGCTTGCCCTGCACTGATTGTCTTCCCCTTTGACCAGTGTTCACTGAATTCCGTGTTCTTCCAGTGCAAAATCTGCTTGAGTTTAGGGGCAGCCATCAGCCCTCTTCAGTAATTGAGTGGTTTCTATTTCAGAAACTGGGAGCACCGGGAGGCAGAATGTCGGGGGTGAGACACTGAAGCCAAGGCCACTTGTAATCAGATAATTAAAATCTGAGAATAAAGGTGGTGGAGATGGAAGGAGGGGGCCAGATTGATATATTCATAGCAGTGGAAAAGCTATGCCCATTTGGGGGTGACCGAGAAGAGATCTGAGAGCAGCTCTCTAGATTTTAGCTGAGAAGCAAAAACAGTGAAGAGAAATGTTGGGTAGAAGGTGATAAAATTAATTTGATTTGGGATGTTTTATACCAAAGTGTCTATAAGACCTATAAATAGAAATGATCAACTCAGCCAAGAGCTGGAGACAAATCTGTGGCTGAAGACACCCAGGAGTTTATTTTTATCCTTCAGTGATGCTTCAGGAGACCCTTTATTGTCTAGTAGCGTCTTAGGGGTCATCCTAATTAGCACTGTGTTACTCGACCAGAGACGTATATAGAAATGCAGGTTGTAGAGAGCTTGTTTAATATAAAGCCAAATATAGATTATTCATTAGCTATATGTACTGAGAGATTAATAGATAGCACAGCAATAGTGCATGGGAAAAACAAGCAAACAGAAAAAATAAGTAAATAAGTTAACAGATGAATGAAAAAAGAGAGAAAGACACAATCCCTGCTCAAGGAGTAATTATCTTAATACTTGCAGCAGATTTTACAAGCAGTGAGATTGCATGTGTTAGGATTCTGGGCTTTCAACTCGCTCGATGACCTTGAATAGGTTACACAACTATTTAAACCTTGAAATTCCTCATTTGTGATATATTATTTGTAGAATGCCAGTTAATATCTTCATCATTGAGGCGTTGTTGAGGATAAGCGAGGGTTAACCGCAAATTTATTTTGAATGTATAAAATAAGTTTGGGTAGGAAATAATGTATGCATTGTGATCTATTTAATACCTTTTACTAGTATTTCATTTGATTTCCAGTTAATACCCAATAATAACCTGTCTATTTGAATTGCAAAAATCAAGCTGGCTTGAATTAAGGAAGTGTGAAAAATTCCTGGGTTGGCAAACTACATAACACTTCCATCAATTAAAAATAGGTAAAATGTGTTAAAAATAATGAAAAGTTCATGCTTTAATTGAACTGGCTTTTTCATGAGTTTATGTTTTTATGAAGCTTAATGAACAGAAATTGAAATGGTACCATTATGAAATCTGAGTTAATTGTTATTATTCCCATAAAGCTTACAGTATTAAGAAAACTTCTGCCATAATGCCAACTAGAAATGTACAGTACCTGCCTTCATTTTCTCTGGATTTATTTTTGGTCATAAAGACCAACATTCACCTTGGCAAAGAGAGCATTTGCTAAATTGAAAACTTCCTTTAACCATCCTAGCAACTTTGGCTGTGAGACAGCCAGAAAGGCAGGGTGCTTCTGTCTCTCTGACAGGACTTCCATGGTGCTTTCTGACCTCATTAAGAGCAAGACTCCTTCTCCCCATTACTGTTATGCCAGCACCAGCATACTCTTAAATACCATTGTGCTAGAAGGCACGCCAATATTAATTAACAATGGAGTCTAATTATTTACCGTACTTGGTTCATACAAACCTCTGCAGTATAATCAGTGGACTCCCTTAAGGGGCTTCATGGTATTTGGGAGTGAAACCGGAAGCTGTGTTGCTGACTTATGCGAGTATAATTAAATATAACCTACAATTCACCTTTAGGTCACTAGATCAAATATAACTTATCTGGGCAAAGTCCAAAGTTATGTGCTCATGTGGACTGGCTACTGTGGGGCAGCATATAAATGAGAGGAACTTCTACCTCTGGGCCTCCCAGAGAACATTCTGGGTGTTTCTGGAAATAGAGGAAAAGCAGAGGGTGACGGACTGAGTCCTTCACTTTAGACTGTCTTCATGACAAAGTGCCATCAGCCAAGCCTAAGAATGGTTCTGCTGGTTGACCTGCTCTAATCTCGTCCCATTCGGGCCTTATCTAGTGCTGGCTTAGAGTTACTGAGAAGTGCTTTCCCACCCAGAGGGCCTGGGCCTGGGCAGTATATCAAGGACCAGCATGGTGGTCAGGTCAGCTCTGCCATTATCCTTGGGCTTATCTGGAATTTGTTCTTTTTTTTTTTTCTTTTTCCATTTTCTTAATAAGGGAGAATCTCTTCCAAAAGGAGACTTGAAGAGTCCATTGGTCTCTGCAGCCATGTCCTACCAAGAGAGGCAGTAACAGAACTGACGAATGGCATCAGATATCCAGCGTTGTGACACTCCCACCCCTTCACATTCACGTCAGCACCTTAGAGTCCTGCTCAGTGTGAAACGTCCAATTGCCTGCGCTAAGGAAGAAGTAAAGAGCACCAGAAACAATAGAAAGTGGCAAGAAAGAATTTGGGTCATGGGAAACAGTAGTAAAAAACAAAATAATATTGGAACTCAGGGTGGCGAAACTGGAAACTCACTAGCCAGATTGTGAAGTGTGAAGGTTGAGATACTCGAGGCATGGAAGGTGTTTGAATATTCTTTTGCAAAAGCACTACAGAAGCCATTCAGTAGAAGGGACTCAGTGCCCCAGAGACTGCAGTGGGAGTAGGGATTTGCTCTGACTTCCCCGTTGAATTCAGTCTGAAGTTTTGGCCAGGGAAAATGAAGAATTCAGAGTAGAAATGGACTAAGTCTGTTTCATATTCAGCAGGGGTTAGTAGTCAGAAAGGTAAGTCAAGGTGCTAAAGCTGCTAAAGGTGCGGAGGTGGTCCATGATGTCCCCTTGGGTGGGGAAATCTGAGCACAGGCAAAGGCTGAGCAATCAGGGGTGGCGGTCCTGGGATTTCTGCCTGCTGAGAACTAAAACATGGGGTTCTTGCCAGCTAGAGGCTCTGACTCACAGAAATTTGAGCGTTCATGTGAGCTATTGCCAGGCAGAAAGGATTATATACGCACTCAGAAGGGTTTAGTGTGTGATGTGTTAATCTCGATATTGGGGATTGGGCTGAAATTGGGTTGAATCTGCTAGAAAACGTTCCCAAACATGCCACATCTGTTCCAGGGGATAAGCTGTCATCCAGTGAGGACAGCCATGTTTATGGAACTCCCCACGTGCAGATTTCTGAGACATGTAAAAACGGGGTATGCCTCTGATCCCCTAGATGCTTCCAGTCAAATGACGCCTCCAAGGAGGAAATGGACCTGCTGTCCCACCAGGACTGTGACAAAGGGGAGCAGGTGAAGAGTGGGGGCTGGGGGCAAGGATCAAGTCCTACAGGATCTTTGTCAGTCTGGGGATATATCTTATTAATTAAAAAATATTTATTTATTTATGCACACAGAGCTGGGGTACAGGCCAGAGGTGTAGGGGCAGCGAGAGGCTTCACCAGAGATAGAGTGGGGAGCAGGACAGGCAGATGGACAAACTACACTACTGAGGGGAGCTGCAGGCATGTCAGGAGAGGTCTGCTGCGCCATGTGGGTCACCTGTGGGGCGGGGATTGAACTCACACTGAAGCGGTTGTGGCCAGCTTGCAGTGCTGCGTCCTCACCCATTGCGCCACCAGGGAGGGCCCCATATCTTATTTTTAATAGTGAAGAGAGATCAGGAGTCATTGAATTTTCTTCAACTATGGAACCAGTGAACCAGTCAGTTAGGGTCTAGTAGTTCTCAGCATCCTCATGGGGGGAGGGGCAGTTTCTCCAGCCCTGTCCATGGAGATTGGGGTCCTGACAGGCTCATTGACCAGTTGCGGGTGAGATGTTGTGATGTGAGAAACTGGAGAAATGGAAATGGTTGGTGGACAGTTTTTTCGTTTGAGTCATCTTGGGAGCTGACCAGGGGCTCTTGCTGCTGGTCCTGGACTGACACTTCTCTCTGCTTCATTGTGGTGCACCCCTATCTGAAAACCCTCACTGGCTTCCCAGAGCTCCTGACACAGAGCCCCTTCACTGAGCAACATTAGTTTACTTCCCATACTAGTTCCACAAAATGCCAGTTTGATGAGATGTTAACAGGTGTTCTGGAAAAAAAAAATGCAGGTGTGGAGGGGTGCTCTAGTGAAATAAATTGGTACAATAAACCGAGCACGTAATGCCATTCCTGTCTTGATTCATGATGGAGTTGGCCTCACTAAAGTCTCTGAGCAGTATGGCAAACTTTGTTTATTCTTGTACCTCCCAAACACAATCAAAGTCAAATCCCTTTCTGTACATACCAACCATGGACAACTGGCTGAGAGCTACTCTGGCTGACCTTTCCTTAGTTTTGCCAGGGTTCTCTATTGGGCCAACCTGAGCCTTTTGAATTTCTCCTGTTGTGGCTTTCCTGATGCCACTTTCCTCTTTTGGGAAAATCTTTGTTGTCCTCACTATCCTTTCATATTCATCCACCACAAATATCACCTCCTTCATGAAGCCCACCCTGATTGTCCTGATTTGGACTGATGTTGACTTTCTCCTAACTTATATATTTTTTAGAGATTTATTTATTTATGCACACAGAACTGGGGTACAGGCCAGAGGCTCAGGGGCGGCGAGAGGCTTCACCAGAGACAGAGTGGGGAACAGAACAGGCAGATCCACGAAATACACTGCTGAGGGGAGCAGCGGGCGGGTCAGGAGAGGTCTGCCACACCATGTGGTCACCTCCGGGGTGGGATCGAACTCCTGCTGAAGTGGCTTTAGCTTCTTAGTGCCATGCTTTAACCTGCTGTGCCACCAGGGACGACCAGATTTTCTCCTAATTTTTAAAGCACTTTCTAATGGGGCCATTTGGTGTGTTTACAGCCTCAGATTGTTCTCTTTATTATTTGTTCACATTGTTACACTTTCCCACTTACAGTTCCGAAATTAGCTTATATCTCTTGAAGGGATTGATGATCTTTGTTTTGTGTTCTGAAAGGCAGAATTGAATATGAAGTCTGCAATAAAACAGTTATTTTGATCACATTTCAGCTAACCAGCTTCACGATGCTGAGCAAGTTACCCAAGCCCAGGAAGCCTCAGTTTTCTCTTTTATAAAATAGGAATAATTAATTGCCTACCTGTTGGAGGTGTCCATGAAAATTTAATGATACTACGTAGAGAATCTGACATACTGTAAGTACTCAATTCAGATGCTACTGGCATTGTTATTATTACTATTATTTATTATCACTTATTACTACTATATAATCTCTATTTTGTTTGTTTGTAAGATTTATTTTTATTTATTTACGTATATAAGAACTGGGGTGCAGGCCAGAGGTACCGGAGGTGAGAGGATTGACCAGAGACAGAGTGGGCATGTGCGATCTCCCAGGACCTCAGCATTTCTTACTATCCTGGCAGTTCAGCATCCAAAGATTCTGTTTTTTAATCTTTGTGAAGGCAGAGAAAGGTGCATGAGATGTGTGCATGGCAATGGTCTACCTGTAGAGAAGCATGGATTTGGGGATTTTATTCCCTGGATTTTCTAGAGCCCCCAGATTTTACTGGCAATTAAGCACCTCATCCAGTGCATCAGGTCTCTGGCTCAGAGTGAATGCTGGGCTGGCTGTGCAGAGACACTCGGCTCCTGTGGTGGCAGACCTGCCCGCCTGGTGTGGATGGTCTGGCCACTGGGCACGTGCTCTGAAAGTCAGGGTGTGGCTCTATCAGCTCTCTAGTGGATCGAGGTTGGGGTTCACCTGACTCTTGACATTGTTGCTGTCATATGATGGTTCAACAAACTGAAATGTCAGGGGCTCTTTTATATTCTACATAATAAACCTGTGAGTTAAGAAAAAGAGTGATATATGTGCATGTAGATTGCAGGCCTGTTCATTCACTGATTTTTGTTGCACATGTGCTAAGCATGGGCACAGTTTCAGGCAGTTGTCAAATGATGATGAACATAAAACAGGCGTCCCTGTTATAGCAGTCTTCAGCTGGAGAAGACAGACAGCAAGCAAGCAAACTAAGGAATATATCTGTGGGGAAGGCAAAGCAGGAAGCAGGGCTGGGCGTGGGCCTGGGCAGGAGAGGCCTCCTTGTGAAGATGGCATCCGAGCTGAGGAAATGGGCGACGTGCTGGGGTGAAGAACCTCTGAGTGGGAAAAGGACCAAGTCCCCTCATCTGCTGAGATAAAGGGAAAGACTGGCTTGAAGCCAGGGAAGGAGACACACCAGATTTTCAGGCCAAATCTGCATGTGTGCATTTCTGTCTGAAAAGGAAGTAGGAAGGGTGGGTGGGTTTTGTGAAGAGAACCGCAATGGTGTTTTTAAGGGGCCCCTCTTGGTGATGTGCAATAGAGGAGGGGTGCCAAGGTCCGTGGCATGAAGAGGTGATCGTGGGGCATGAGAGAAGCATGGGCAAGAGAGGGTGGACTCGACCAGGGTGTCTCAGCCTGGGCACTGGTGGCATCTGGGACTGCCATTTGGACTGTTGTTGTTTCCCTGGTCACAGTCCCCTTTGCATCGACCTGATGAATGTCTGCAACACCACCACCCCCTTGTCTCCCCAGTTGTGACTGCTCCAGACAACAGCCCCTAAGAAGTAAATCTGCCCAGAATTTCTAGATTCTGCTGTTGGGACTGATGGGACAAGAGGACAGGGCTTGGGAGGCTGATGTGAGCGGAAACAAGGAAGGTGGAGGAGGAAGAATGTGGAGCCCAGAAACCCACCATGAAGGGGTGGCATTCTTTAGCCAGCTGTCCTCACCAGCTTGACAACCTAGAGAAAGAGCACAGTTTTGCACACTAGGTGAGTTCTGAAGAACGGCCCTTGACGCCCCCTCTCTCCAGCAGGATGGGGCCAGCAAGTTGAATTGCCAGACCTGGACTGCAAGAGAGAAGGATGAAGAGGTTTTTGAGTTGGTGTCTGCTGTGGTGATGGAGTCTAGTAGGAAACGACTGAGCGTGAGAAAGGAAGAAAGGACTGAGATTGAAGCCCCAGGACACTGGAGGAGTAAGACCTGCAGTAGGAGCCAATAGGAAGGTTAGAGGGCACCCCAGAGGTGTAAGAACCCCGAGACTACAGGAAATAGCAAGGTGTCAGAGGGCCCCTGGAGTCCTGGCAGCCTGGCTTTGAATCCTGATTCCAGCACTTAAACTTATGTGACCTTGGCCACATCACTCAGACTTTCTAAGCCGTGTAGTGTTGTTAGGAGGGATTTAAAGTAATGCTGCATTTAAAATCTACGTATTGGTTGGTAGTATGGTGCTCAGTAAGCGGTGCCCTTCGAAAGAGATTCGGGGAGCCGTGACTGGCCCACAGAGCCAGAGAGACGGAAGCGAGTCTCTAAAGACTCCAACTGGAAGCCTTGGCGATGTTCACAGGAACAGCAACATCTCAGGTAGCGCCGAGTAGGAGCTGCTGTAACCCTACACAGCCCGAGTGGGCATGCCCGCCAGTAATGTAATGAAAGGAGTTTTCCTTCCTTCGGGACAGGTGCTCAAGTGATACAATTTGGAGTCTCAAATTCCAGAGCTTAATTGTTTGTTTTACATACAAGTTGGCCCAGTTCAGAACACCTGTGGGCTAAGTTCTTTTGATGCCCCAAAGCCTGTCTTTTATTAAGCTCTTTGCAGGCAGTCAAAATAAGACCAAATGTCCGTGTGTTGCTGAATAGGAACATGGACGGTGAAACCATCAGAGGCAGGACTGCTGGGTCAGTCTCAAAATAGCAAGTGAATCCTAGGGCTCAGGGAAATACGGTGCTGTGATTAATGAAACCAGAGTTAGATATAAAATAAAATTAAATATTTTATATATATAGAAACTTGTCTACACACACATAAAATTCCCTATTAGTGTACGCGAGGTCTGGCCATGTTGAATCGATAAAAAATGATTTAGAACGGCTGCTTTTCAGCAGCTGGTTGCACTTCCAGTCTTCCATAAAGAAGTTAAAATTAATTTTAATATGTTGATGGTGCTTATTGATGATAATATTCATAATAAATATCCATTGGAAAAATTCTCTGGCACATCTATGTGACAGAGAGGTCAAGAATGTTAATGACAATCACAGCTACAAAATGCTATTCAGTCAATTACTTTAATTAAATCTAAAACTACTTTATGTCTTCTCATTTATATAGTAAACTGATAGTGGGGGAAAGGGCATCATCTTTATCTGGCTCGTTTTAGAGTCCAAAGAAGTGGTCTCCCATTGTGTGTTAACATTTGTTGCTCTTATCATCTTGTGGAACATTTAAGGCAATTATGAGCCTTAAGTAATGCTGTTGCTTCTAGAAGCTCAAAAGAGGAGGAGCTTTCATTCTGAATGCAGTTTTTATAGCGAGAGAGCTTTCCCTTCTCAGACACTAATCTTGTATTTACAGACTGGGGTATGTTGGGCAGGCCAGCATTCCAGGGTAAATGGTAGAAACGTCTACATTTCAGTGAATCCTTTTTAATTCTATTGTTTGGGATCAGCAGCAAAGGAACACAGCTGTCTGAAGTTCTCACTGCCACTGAAGTTCAAGTCCCTACAACTCAGACATCATAACAATACAAGATGCTTTTTAAAATTGGATTGTGGGATCACGCAAAACGTTGTTTCCTTAAGCATTGTGCTGCCAAACTTGGCAAACAGACAGGTGAACACTTAATAAAATGAGTCAATTACTTCATTAACAACTCCCAACACCTTTCAACAGGTAGCTTCTCAGGACCTACTGTGTGCCAAGCAGTAATTTGGGCATCTGAATTCAACCATGAGCCATGCAGAAAAAAATCGCTGTCCTGTCTGCCAGAAGCTTCCATTGCAGTATGGAGGTAAAGAGAAAACCAACCAGCGAATAATATCACCTAGTAGCAAGGCTATGAGAAACACCCTACTGTGTGACTGGCAAGGTCACCAACCTTTCTAGGTTTGGCTGGGACTGTCTCAGTTTTCCACAGAAAATAGTGTGTACCAGGAAAGACCTCAGTTCCAGGTCAACTGGGAGGCTTGGCTGCCCATGTAATGAGAAATAGATAGACTAAGGGGGAGTTTCTTTTTGATAGAAAGATGCAGAAGGCCTCCCTAAGAAGGTGACATTGGAATTAAGTTAAGAATAATGTGAAAGAATGGTCTTCACACAGCTGTGGCGCCATCAGGATGGAGCTTGTCCCTGCTGGAGATGTTCCAAAATGGGATTTGGCTTTGAGAACATGGATAAACATTTATGGAGTGTTTTCTGTAGGCCAGACAATGTCAATATTTTATCTTATTTTATTCTCACAATCCAAGTGTTAGGCATTATAATTCCTATTTTATAGGTCAGACATAAAGTGATGAATATTGCCCAAACTCTTGGGGCGAGTACGTATAGAGTTGGGATAAAATCTTATACTGCCTCAATTCAAAGCCCTTACCAGCCGGAGAAAGAATGAATTTAAAGTACGCTTGTGGGGGGAAACCCACTTTATGCTTGGAGAGGAGATTAAAATAGACCCCTTTTCCCCCCATGGAACCCAGACTTTTCCTATGTGACCCATTAAATCCCCACTAAATCTGAGTAGTTTGGATGTTATTCTTGATGCATTTTAGACCTGACAGTTTCTGAGTTAAGTGGTCTTCAAAAGGAAGGATACCTGCTAAAGAATCCAGCATTTCTTGGGGGGAGGGAGATATGAAGGACTACAGAGGTGAGATTTGGAATTTTTGCAAACCACAATGAGGAAATAGACAAAGAAAAAAATATATACTGACTTTACCAGGATCCTCTTTATCTCTGGGCTAATGTTGCCTATGGATAAATGGGAGTCATCTATCTTTGTCTTATTATTTAGCTCTGGTCTATGCATATGTCTTAGGTATTTTCAGAGCAGACCTTGCATGCTATGTCTTTAGATTTTCCCATAACAACTAACAAAGGTACTTGCCTGTATTATGAAATCCCTACATTTCTTCTAAAATTAAAATATTTGGAGGCTCCGTGTTGGTTTCCTAATAAGCAGTATAACTTTAAGTGATTTTTCTGAATTTGCCTACCAATTTTGGACTACCATTTGCCATAATTGTATTTGAACCTAGCTCATTTTTAAAGATTATCAATTTATTTAAATTAAACTAGAAACTTGTAACCAAGCAACTATGGAATGATGAAGTGAGGACATAAATAATTTACTTTTAGAACATTGGCAAGAATCTCGAAATCTACATTTTCCAGAACTATCCAAATTATCCTAGAAATTATCCAGTGTTCTCCAGTAATCTGAAAGTCTCTTAATCGAGCATGAAATAGCTAAACAATGATAAGAATAGCAAGCATTGTGGCATATTCACTCATGCTAGTCCCATCCCACCTTCCTATTTTGTAGTATTTTTGAAATACAAACTTTTCATAACTATGTTAGCTGTGTAAACAAGTAGCCAGAAAGCCAGTGAAGGAGGAAGAATGGTTTGAAGTTCCTCAAAGGGCTTATTCCCAGAAAGTATGCCTTTATCTGACCTGACTTAGATGATCATACTATACAAATAGGTTTTCCTGGGTTTTTATTAACAACAATTAGTGGCATCATTTTAATAGCATCTAAACTGAGTTAACATATTAGCTGTCTGGGTGGCTGATAACAGTTGGGGTTACCAAGAGACATTAAAAAGAAAAAAAATGGGCAATGAGATTTCTAATATATTCCTGGAAACCTAGAGCCCATATGAAAGTACAAGGTATGTACATGTCCAGGGAAGACCAAAGAAGTCTCTTCTCTCCTATTGGTAAATGACTGTGAATCTGTGTAAGCAGAAAGTGAAGACTCAGGTGGAGTCCTTAGCTGCGTTGAAAGATCCTTCCCGTCCTTCAGAGCTTCTTGCAAAATACTGCATGATTTTTTTTAATGCAAAATGATAGAACGGAGTGTTTGTCTAAGCATTCAAGTAATCTAGGTTCTATGTATCTAAATGGGAACATCAGTAGCTATACAAGATAAGAACTACAGACTGCATAATTAGCTTTCAAGAAATTGATTAGACAAATAATCCATAACAGCAACAGCAAAAAAACAAAACAACAATAACAACAAAAACACTACCACTAACAACCTCTAGGTAGTGGTGGTAGATTCTTTCTCAAGTACAATATCATATAATTTTAAAAACTGGGCAGTTTTTAAAAAGAACGGGAAGAATGTCCCACAGTTAGGAAAAAGTGGTGAAGAGGAACCGTCCTAATGTATTGCATTATTGGACTTATTAGACAAAGATTTGAGAAGAACTAGAGAAAATCATATTTAAATAATCAAGGAAAGTGTGAGCATAATGTTTCATCAAGTAAGCATATCAATAGTGACAGATATTATGGAAATGAATTAAGTAGAATTCTTAAGTCCAAAAGTACAAAAACTCCCTAAAGGAACCCAGGAACAGATTTGAAATGATAGAGGAAAGAATGAGTGACACTGGCGATTCTCCAATCTGAGATAAAAGTGCAGTGAGCATCAGAGACCTATGGGATACTAACTATCCACAGTACTGTCATAACAGACCGGAAGTCACAGAAGAAGAAAAGAAAGGGGCTGAAAGAATATTTGAAGAAATATGTCTGATATCTTTCCAATTTTAATGGGAAAAATTAATCTTTACATACAAGAATCTCAACAGACACTATGTGAGACCAGTTACAAGTGATCTCACGTAGGTACATAATAAAAATATTCCCTGCCCTACAAGAAATACTAAAAGGAGTTTTTCAGGCTGACATGCAGTGATGCTGGACAATTACTGGTAAACATAACCACACAGATATATGTAACAGAGAGTATAAGTATGTTTTGACTTATAATTATTTGCTGTGTTGATGAGTTGTAGAATGTGTAAACATCTAAGTTGTATGGCAGTTATTGACCAGAGGAGGGGAAGTGAGTAGAGGTGTATTGGAGCAAAGTTTTGATATATTGTTGAAGCTAAGTAGGCATTAATCCAAACTGAACTGTTATAAATTAGGATGTTGATCATAATACCCACTGCAATCATAAAGAAAATGAAAAACAATGCTAAAATGACCTGCTATAGAAAAAAAAAGCAACCTAAATCCTATTTTATTAGTAATAATATAAATGGACTAACCACAGCTAATCAGAGAATAGCAAAATGGATAAAAAACATGATCAAACTATATGCTGTTTATAAGAAAACTTTTTTTTTTGGTGGGAAACACATTTATTTGGACATACAACACATGCTTAGGGGGTGTGAGAGACACACTGCCAGTAATAACCACAAAAATGAACCGAGGAGCTATTACATTGACTGAAATGCCTCCCAGGCTTGTGTTCAACATTCATCCTGGGAGCCTGATTTTTTTTTTTTTAAGAGACACATTTTAGTTCCAAGTTGAAAATAAATGTGTGGGAAAACATTTCCCAGGCAAACAGTAACCAAAAAAGAGTTGGGGTGCCTATTACTTGGTTATTTGTAAAGATCAACAAAATGGACAAATCTTTAACAAGGTTGATAGAACGAAAAAGAGAAAATTGAAATAATTAAAATTAGGAATAAAAGGACACCACTACCAACCTCCTAAATTAAAAACAGATTGTAAGGGAATAATATGACCAATTGCATGATACTAGATAATATATTAGAAATATACAAAACTGAAACTGACTTCAGGAAAGATAAAATATTTATCTAGCTCACTAGCTCACAAAATAAAGAGATCGGATCATGAATATATATAATAATAATTTTAAAAATAACTCTACAAAACAAAGACAAGATCAAGATGACTTCCCTAATCAAGTCTTGCTTAAATATTTAGTAAATAATGTATTCAACAAGGTTAGGTTACCCTGCATTGCGTTGATATCAAAACTGGACAATGCGATCACAGAAAAATACTTTGCTTTCTGAATAGCTCCAAATATTTTTAAGAAAATACTAACAAATCAAGTTCAACAGTGTATAAAAATGATCATTTACCCTAATCTAGTGGGTTATATCTGAGGAATGCTGGATTTGTCTAACATATGATAATTAACCTATATGATATACTGTATTAGTAGATTAAAGAACAATAACCATATAATCACCTCAATGGACACAGAAAAATCTTTTAAAACATGATAAAAACACTGAACAAACTAGGAATAGCAGAGAACCCTCCTCCAGATGTACAGCCTACCCGTGACTAACCCACAGCCAGCGGCAGACTTAACGGTAAAAGGTTGAATATTTTCCCCTATGTCAAAACAAGACAAGTATATCCTTGTGCCTCTTCTGTCCTGCAGTTTCCTGGAGATTCTAGCCATGGAAATTGGGAAGGGAAAAGAAATAGAGGGCATCAGTCTGGTAAGGAAGACAAATATATTTCTACATTTATTTATAGAAAATCCCAAGAAATTTGCTAAAAAGCCTTAGAACTAGTAGGTGAGTTTAGTGAGATTGCAAAATACAAGACCAATATATAAAACTCAAATTGTGTGTCTGTACATTAGCAGTGAATAAGTTGGAAATCAAATTATGGAAACAATTTTATGTAGTATTATAAAGGTACATTTTTAGAAATATATTTAACAAAAGAAGTGCAAGTTTTCTATACTAAAAACTACCTAACATCACTGAAAAATATTAAGAAGACTTAGTAATTGGAATGACATCCCATATTCAGATTGGGAGACAATATTGTTCAGATAGTAATACTTCCCAAATAGTTTTGTAGATTCATTGACAGCCCATTAAAAGGTAGAGCTGCCTTTTCTCCTCCCAGTAATTGATGAGATGGTCCTAAAGTTGAAATGGTCATTCCAGGGATCCAGAATAACTAAATAATCTTGTGAAAAAACCCCACGAAATCAAAGTTGCAGGACTCACAGTTCTATATTTGAAACTGTTGGTAAAGTACAATAGTTATGGTTCTAGCATAAGATAGGCAAATAGAACAATGGAATAGAATTAAGTATCCAGAAATAAGTCATCAGCTATTCAGTCCATTTATTTTTGATAAAGATGCCAAGACAATTTAATGGAGGGAAGAATAACTTCAAAAAATAGTATTGGGATCTGCAAAGGGATAAAATTGAACCCCACCTTACTCAAAATGGACTGGGCACTTAAATGTAAGAGATACAACTACAAAAGTGAATTAAGCAGTAGTTTTGCAGATATGATACCCAAAATTGAAGCAACAAAAGGGACAAAATTATATAAACTGAGACTTATTAGAAAAATGTCCTACAAAAATATCATGCCCAAAGTGAAAACACAACCCACAGAATGGGAGAGCATTATCTTCAAATCATGTATAGGGTCTTATTTTCCAGAGTATACAAAGTATTCTTATGACTGAAAAAAAAATCAATCAAAATGGACAAAATATTTGAATAAACATTTCTCTAAAAAAGATTCTTTAAAGATTTACAGGTAGCCATAAACAGGCGAAAAGATCATCAGTATCATTCACTAGCCCAGGGAAATGCAAATCCAAATCACAATGAGATTTTTCTTCACATCCACCAGGATTTTTTTTTAAGACATTGACAAGTGTTGATGAGACTGTAGAGAAATTGGAACCCTCATACATTGTTAGTGAGATTGTAAAATAGTGCAGCGATTTAGAAAGAGTTTGGCAGTTTCTCAAAATGTTAAACACAGAGTTATAATATGACTGAGCAATTCCACTTAAGGATAGGCCCAGGAGAATTGAAAACATATGTGGACACAAAAACTTCTTCGGGAATGTTCTTAGCAGTGTTTCCTAAATAACTGAAAAGTGAAATCAACCCAGGTGCCCATTAACTGATGATTGGATGAACAAATGTGGTATATCCACATAAAGGATATTATTTGGTCATAAAAAGGAAGGAAGTATTAAGATGTGCCATAGAAAAGATGAACCCTGCAAATACACACATGAAAGAAGCCAGATGCAAAATGCTACATCTTCTGCGATTCCATTTCTAGGAAATATCTAAGCTAGCAAATTCATAGAGACAGGACTAAGTAGTGGTTGACAGGGAATGAGGCAGGGAAGAGAGGGGAGAGGCTCTGAGGGGTTTCTTTTAGGACTGTTGAAATATCTAACATTGGACGGGATGATGGGTGCCCAATTCTGTGAATATACTACAAACCGCTGACTTTATGGTCTACAAAGCATATCTCAGTAATGTCATAAAAAACACTTTGCGGCCCTCCCTGGTGGCGCAGCGGGTTAAAGCACTGCACTGAGAAACTAAAGCCACCTCCGCATGAGTTCGATTCCCGCCTGCCCTGGAGGCGACCACATGGCGAGGCAGACCTCTCCTGACCCGCCCACTGCTCCCCTCAGCAGTGTACTTCGTCGATCTGCCTGTTCTGCTCCCCACTCTGTCTCTGGTGAATCCCCTCACCCTCCGCATCTCTGGCCTGTACCCCAGTTCTGTACGAATAAATAAATCTTTTAAAAAAAAACACTTTGCTTTGTAAGTAACATGTCTAAGTAGACAGTCAACATCTTAGGCAGTTTTTTATAAGATAAACATATGGCCAGGTTTCAACAGGGTCCTTGACTCTCTAATTTTCTTTTGTTTTAAGGTGGTTGTGGATTCGCTTATATGGACTGTATCTCCCAGCTGCCTTTGCAGGTAAGGGCGGCCATTGGTCAAAATTCTGCTTCGAGTGCAAGAATAAAATGTTTAGTGAAACTTTTTGGTTGTGCCCTCAAAAGGCAGTTGCTGGCCTTCTATTTCCTGCTTCCCTGTTTAGGCCGGCTGAAGCATGGCAGGGGTGTGTGTGTGTATGTGGGGGAGGGGGGGCGTTGAGCCTTTGAACTGGCTGTCAGGAGCTACACCCTAGGGCATGACAGAAAGCAAGATGGAGAGACGTTTATTTGCTGAACCATCTTGAAGAGCAACACTTCCGAGTCATACTGTACCGATATTGACCTTTGTTATTTCAAAATCTTTTTTTTATTTTTAAAAAGATTTATTTATTTATTCTTACAGAACTGGGGTACAGGCCAGAGATGCGGTGAGAGGCTTCACCAGAGACAGAGCGGGGAGCAGAACAGGCAGATGGATGAAGTACACTGCTGAGGGGAGCAGCAGGCCGGTCAGGAGAGGTCTGCCACGCCTTGTGGATCTCCTCCGGGGCCAGCGGGGATCGAACTCATGTGGAGGTGACTTAAGCTTCTTGGTGCTGTGCTTTCACCTGCTGCACCACCAGGGAGGGCCCTCAAAATCTTTTAATTTATGTAATGACATTTTTGATATCATGGCAATTTTTGTTAGAGAACTGTTTTTCCTCCATGGATCTATGCTCAAACTGTTTAAAACAAACTGCTCTGACTGGGAAGATAAATAAGGCACACTTTTTTTCCTTTGAGGGTTAGAAGTGTAGCAGAAGAATTTGTTGTGTGCTAAGTGGTCAATGTAAAATGCAAATATATAAAAGCAGGGATTCAACAGAGTTTTGTGAGGGTGGACATGAAGTTGTGGGGCGCAAGGGAGGGCTGGAGGAAGGGTGAGAGTTTGGACAGGTACTTGTTAGGAAAAACATTTGTGAGTGGATGAAGGTAACATGATTTCTTATTCCATGTTATATGTTCTTACATATTGTATGTGGTGTTTTGCTTTGAAATGTGTTATTATTTAAAAAAAACTTTTTATTTTGAATTTCATAGCTGTAGAAATAGTCAGAGAGCAGAGAATTCCTGTATGCCCTTCACCCTAACATGAACCAATTCAATAACCATGGCACGAATAAATTAAGTACGATTAAGAATAACACTATTAACAAAACCCCAGACTTTATCAGATTTTACTAGTTTTCTCTGTATATTTTCCCTTACCCCCTTCCCCAAGATTCAGGCCAGGATCCTGAACTTTTAAAGCCCTTCTTCATCAGAGTTAGATGTTGGCTCTTCACTTAGCATCTCTCCAGTCCATCTGAAGACAGGAAGACTAGACTGAGAGCCCATGTGGCCCGGCTCGGTCATTCATACAACCCTCGTCCCATAGAGGCGATGGTTGTGGGGATCAAGAATGAAAACGCTCTGAAAACGGTAAATAACTAATCTGAGGAAGATCATTTATTCCACTCATCAATCACCAGCCATCTCCAGGACATGGTCTGGGCATAAGGGCCACACAGCATGTGATCCCCACATGTTACATGCCACCCAGTTCCAGGCTTGTGAGGCTGATCATTAAATATTTATCGAACACCTCCGGTGGGCCCTGTGATACCAATGGTTAACTCTGCATTAGAGTACAACCCATGGCTCTTTCTTCCCAGGCCTCGAAGAGTTAATGTGTTGTCCACACCTCCCCTGTGCTAGGGATTCCTGGGACACGGGGGAGGCTGCAGGTGCATTAGGGCTCCAAGTATATATTTTCTTTTCCCCTCTGTTTATGTCTCTGTTTTCTGTAAAGTCTTCTAAACGGCGGACGTATCTACCAAGTTCTCTGACAATGCTATAAATTTCATTAAGAAGATGAAGCCTTATGGGGCAATTAACTCCAAAAGTGATACAAAGCAATAGCAAGGAGATACTGGCCTGTAGTACTTAGCACTTAGCTCTGAAATTGAGATAAGCCCTATCAACTCGGGGTTGTGTTTAATGTTCACTGCCGCTGCCACAGCACAGCTACAACCTAGCGGTCACCGTGTTAACACTCCCCAATATCTATTACAATTAGTTTTTGATTAAGAGGCCTAACATGGCTTTTGAAGCCTTTTATGTTGTGTCAAATGGCGAGTGATGGAGTGGGATGTGCAGACACCTCAAGTAACAAAGCATCTTGTAAAAGGTTTCGAGTGAACTATTTTATCATCCTAATGGAAACCAGATGACCTGAACTCCCCCCTTAATTTCAACTATTTACTGGAGAGTCCTTGTTTTGAATTACTTAAAGATTTATTCTTAAATGACTACCTCCTGCATTAAGAATCACTAATAACAGAGCCATTTGGAATTTGGGGAAAGCTTTTCAAGATGACTGACGATTTTCACAGAGGGTTCATTTTCTTCTACTTTTGCTGTTGATTTTTAAAAGAGCACACGCCTTTGCCCTGTTCTTGTATTTAATTAATATTTTAATTATTGTGGGAGGCCTTCCTCTGTCCAGTTAGGCTTTCTCTGTGAGGGTTTCAGTCAATAGTTGGCCTATTTTCTAAGAGAGAGGTCACTCGTATTGTGTGAGGAAAAAAAAAGAAAAGAAAAAAAGAAAAAGCTTTGTTTAGTTATGTAAGATTTAATTCTGCATGCATGGAAAATGTTATTTTTATAAAGGTCAAGTAGCTCAAACAAAGAATATCGAAACACTTTGGTGAACACTAAAATATGCTTGTCAATTTAATGGAAAGAACTTAAATATGACATAAATTGTGAATGTGAACCATAACAATATTTTAAAATTGTATTTAATTAACTGTCTCTGGCTTTGGCTGTAGGGTATTGCCTCCAAATTCAATTTCATCATCTGTAATCTGGGGTTGGGCTAGATGAGCCCTGAGTATCTGATCAACTCTGGGAGTCATTGGGTCTGTGATAACACATGCACAGGAGACTGGATGCTTTTGGAGTGTAAGGGTCTCATTGTGGGGATGCAGATGGTGCCCTGGGCTCAAGGATTGTTGGTAGCTCTGTGTCCTTGGGTGTAATGGCCAACTCACTGAGACCCAGGTTTGTTCCATGTAAAATAAGGACAGTGTTATTGACCTCATAGCATCACCATCAGTAAATAAGTCTGGTAGAGAGATTGCTCAGCGGGTGGGAGCCTCTTAATCACTTCTCTTTCCTTTTATTCTGGCCACATTCTGTCCTGTCCAGTGTTGTCTACTGGAGTTTCAATGGCTCAAATTGTGCCATGTTTGTCACATATTGTTATATTGTAAACAGTTTGTGAGTATGTGCTAAGTGCTGGTATTCTACTAGGTCTGGAAATTCTGAGATGAGAGGTCAGGTCCTTGTTCATTCTCCAGTTGGGTCCTAGGATGACCCAGTTGTCATCCTATGTCACAAAATCATCATGGAAACAGGCAGAAGGGATGAATGCAAGATGTGACCAAGCCAGGTTGTAGCTGGGACTTGATCATTTCTTGGGTGACTCTTCCCATCTACCAGGGAGTCATCTCCACCAGGCTGGAGCCCAATAGGACAAGCGTTATCATCTCCACTTTCCAGATGAGGAAGCTGAATTGTTGGATACTTTATTACTAGGATTAATGAGGCTCTTCAAAATAACGTTTGCTCTCTCAAACATAGAGAATGTGCACAAAGATCTAGACCTAGAGGACACACTGATGGGTACACTCAGTTATATTCTATTTCTCGGTCTCTGTTTTAAGCACAGTCCCTCTGAGATCCATCAATTTCGTTCATTTCCAAGTTTAGTCAACATTAGTGGACTCCTTTCCAAGCACAGGGTTGGAAAAGATGAGCAAAGTCTCAGTGTTGTAGGGAGACCCATGGGGTGAAAAATGAGGGTGATGTGAAGAAGGCTTGGAGCTAAGAGACACTGGGTGGGGAGACAAAGCCTGGCTTTCTGGGCCACTTGTCAGGAGTGAGAATAAACTACCAGGTGGGAAGAGACCAGACTGTGCAGCCCTTGGGCCAACACCACCTTCGGAAACAAGCCTCCTCTAGACTAGTCAGTTTGCCCATCCTGTGAGTAGAAAACAACCTTGCACCTTCTTTTCTTTCTGACTCCTTTCAAACCCAGTTTGCTTGCTGCTTTTGGCTAGTTGGGCTTTATGGTCCACCTTAGCAGTTGGTTAGAGGCTGTTATTAGTATAACCAACCTTAAATAATTTGATTTTCAGGTTGGGTACGTCACAATATCTCCTGTGGGCTTGATAGTCCAACTGCACATTTATTTAAAAATTGGTTTCTTCACATTATACTTGAAAGCAGTGCTATTCACTCATCTGTAAACCATTAGGCCACATAGATAAAAGTATCTCATCTGACTTTTATTCATGTAGTTCTAAGGAGGAGGTTGGGGCTCTACAGCTGTTCCCCTCTCTTACTTAGTCCATTGTCTTATTTTGTGGGTTTTCTTTTTTAAAACTATCCTTGTAGAGCAGTGGGTACTTAAAGGGGAGGGACTATATAATAAGTTTAAAAGACATACCCAGTTCTCTTCTTCATAAATTTTAAGGGACTTTGACTTATTTATTTTTAATTTAGATAAGGAGTTTAAACTGGACTGATATGGCCCACAGAATATACTTGTAGTTTGGCTTGTGTAGGGTTTCAATGAGTTGTTGACATTTAAAAGTGCAGAGACCTGGACATGTCACATCCACTCTAACTTTCTTAAAAACAACCAGAAGATGGGATGTTGGGGCCACAGGTTTATAGAAAGATATTGGGAAGGATAGGGTGTGCTCCCCCCTGTTCTCCACATACCCTTTAAAACCAAGGCCTACTTTGACTATTCTGCTCACATAACAGCTGCACAAGGCTAGTATAGGTCCATGTTTATAAATCACCCAATCTTGGAAGCCATCCTATGTTTTCTACTTGGAGAATGGATTAAATAAAATGGCGCATCCAGACAATGGAATTTTATTCATCACTGAAAGGAAATGAACTATGAAGCCATGAAAAGACATAAATGGATACTACTAAGTGAAAGAAAACAATATGAGGCCCTCCCTAGTGGCGCAGCGGGTTAAAGCACAGCACTGAGAATCTAAAGCCGCTTCCGCATGAGTTCGATTCCCGCCTGCCCCGGAGGTGAACACATGGCGTGGCAGACCTCTCCTGACCCGCCCGCTGCTCCCCTCAGCAGTGTACTTCGTCGATCTGCCTGTTCTGCTCCCCACTCTGTCTCTGGCGAATCCTCTCACCCTCCGCATTTCTGGCCTGTACCCCAGTTCTGTATGAATAAATAAATCTTTAAAAAAAAAAAAAAAGAAAACAATCTGAAAAGTCTCTGTGCTCTAGGATTCCAATGATAGGATATCCTGGAAATGGCTGAACTATGGAGACAGTTAAAAAAAAAAAAGAAGAAGAAGAAATCATCATTGGCAGTAGTACGTATTAGGAGGCCAGATGAATAGGAAGAATGAAGAGAATTTTCAGGGTAGCGAAAATTGCACACACTGGAATGATGGATACATGTCACTGCATCTGTCCAAACCCACAGAATGTATGACACTTGGGGAGTGAACCTTCACTTGAACTATGGACTTTGGGTGATTAAGATGTTGTTCTAGTGTAACAAATGTACAATAGGTGTGCATTGTATTGTACATTTGTTACAGTAAATGTAACGGATAGGGGAATGTTATAATGGGGCCAGGGGTTATATGGACATTTCTATACTTTCCTCTCAATTTTTTTCCAAACCTAGGACTGCTGTTAAATCATGGTCCTTTAAAAACAATGCAATGTGGGGGTTGAGGGTGTGAATGCCAATAAGCACGTACATGATTTAATCCTCTTGACTCAGACGTTTTAATATAAGACATGGGGCATGATGACAAAACAGAGCCAAGCCTTTGAAGAGCCGCACTCTTGTAAGTTAGTGATAAAATACATTTCCTGAGTATTGTACACACTGTCATAGAAGGCAAAGAAGGGGACCATCCAGGTTATGCTAAGTATAACTTCTTAAATCAGTGGTCACCCAGAAGTAGACTTTCCCCATGGTCTCACTTATTCCATCTCAAAACTGTTTTAGAGGAACATGAGAGAAATGTCAGCATGAAACATAATTTTTCACTGTCTAAGCAATCAGAAATCACCACTAGGTTTCTTTCATCTTCTTCTTGGTGGGGGGAGGGGCTTCCTCAGCACCTCCCTTCCTGAGCGTGGTTAAAAGTGCTAAGTTTTTCCTGGTGTTAATTATTAATGTGACCTGTTGAGGTAGCATCTACTGGGCTAACCATTAATATCTGTTTACTCATTGATGAACTTTGCAATTTCATACCTCTCTCCTGGCTGCAAATGTCAACCTTTCCCCCCTGTCATTGGTAGGAACAGTGTTTTCTTTCTGTTTACTTGCTACCTGAGGCAGTGCCTTCATAAAGTACAATAACATCAGGTGACACAATAGGGTCTTTATGTACAGACAAAGCCAGACGGGTGCTGTTCTTTTTACAAGATTAAGACACAGAAACTTCGCTTTGGAATGAGCAAGGGGTGGCCACAAATGGCAAATTCCAGGATCCCAGTATGGTGGCAATGGTTGTTAAAAAAATGTCCTCTGGGCCCTCTCTGGTGGCGCAGCGGGTTAAAGCACAGCACAGAGAATCTAAAGCTGCTTCTGCATGAGTTCGATTCCCGTCTGCCCCAGGAGGTGACCACATGGCGTGGCAGACCTCTCCTGACCCGCCCGCTGCTCCCCTCAGCAGTGTACTTCGTCGATCTGCCTGTTCTGCTCCCCGCTCTGTCTCTGGTGAAGCCTCTCACCGCCCCTGAGCCTCTGGCCTGTACCCCAGTTCTGTATGCACAAATAAATAAATCTTTAAAAAAAAAAATGTCCTCTGCCTCTGTGTTTATGCGGAGGGGAAGTCAAGGCGAGGGCCATGAGACAGTGTTGGGCTGGGGGCCCAGGGCTCCCCCTTCAGAATGTCCATGTCAAACACATTCAAGCCAGCCTACAGGGTTTATATCTGGTTATGGGGCCGGTCTACATGAACCCTAACACTGGGAGACATTGCTATTCATGCAAGTGGAATGATGAAAGGGCAGATTAAGCCTTGTATCTGGATTGGGGTGGTGACCAGTGACCTTCATTGTACCCATCATTGGGGACCATGCATATCTGACTCATTAATTGCATTTGCCTAATTTACACAGATATAAGCAGCCCAAGATATTTTTTCACCCCCAAAAATAAAAAAAAGGAAGAGCTATTTTTCCCCCTTTTTTTTTTAAGACTTATTTATGTATGCATACAGAACTGGGGTACAGGCCAGAGGTGCAGAGGCCGTGAGAGTTTTCACCAGAGACATTGGGGAGCAGAACAGGCCAACTGATGAAGTACACTGCTGAGGGAAACAGCAGTGGGTCAGGAGAGGTCTGCAGCGCCATGTGGGTCACCTCCAGGGATCAAACTCATGCTGAAGTGGCTTTAGCTTTTTAGCACTGTGCTTTAATCTGCTGCGCCACCAAGGAGGACCCCCTTTCTTTCCTTTTCTTAGAAATTAAGTATGGGAAGGTCATACTATGACCACTGCTGGGGTGACAAAAGCAACTGTTTTTTTCTTTCCTGGCCCCATTGACATAGCAGCACAGGGCCTCTCTAGTGGCGCAAGGCGTTAAGTCTCAGCCCTCTGAAGCTATCTTCAGCCACTGCAGCAGGAGCATGGATCTCTCTTGTTGCCCAGCTGCTTCCTTCAGCTGTGGATTTCAGTCAATCTGCCTGTTCTGCTCCCCACTCTCTGGTGAATGCTCTCACCCTCTGCACCTCTGGCCTGTGACCCAGATTCTTGTATGCATAAATGAATAAATCTTAAAAAAAAAAAAAGCACAGGGAAAGAACCATTGGATTATTATGACCTTTGCATAACAATACCACTCTAAGCTGTCCCAGCTCTATCAAGACGTTTAAAAACATTAATATCAAGCCAGCCATCAATAACCATTATGGCATTCATAGAGATGAGGTTTTGAGATATGCCCAAGGTGTACATTCACATTTTCTCGTTCATTGAGTTCTAACTTCAGTAAAATTAGTTTTTTTAGATACAGTCGTGAACACTTGCTGTGACTGTCACTTCGTGTTGAATTTATCATATAGAATTTAAAGAAGACAGGGGGGCGATCTGTCACAAATGATTGTATTCATCATCTTGGAGGGCTGGGGTGAGGGCCGGGTGGACACACATTCTAGACGGTGCTTCATCTTGACCACTCTCTCTGCTCCAGTGGCAGCTGCGGAAGAGGGGATTCGTGTGGACTTGGTAATGCGTTTCCTTCCAGCCTGTCTGTGCTGGACTGCACTGCTGTACTTCATGTGCATAAATGCCTCTCAGGTTTTCTCCGCTACATGATAACTCAGCTTGTCTTTTCCAGCAAGTTCAGTAATAAATAGATATATGGGCCAGACGTGGGGTGTTCTGACTTAGTTAGATACTCCAGTGTCCTAGAATAGACAAGTAGACTCAATCATTGTGCCAGCCGTGAGGCACAGCCAAGGAAACACAGGGGCCAGGGTTGGATGCTAAGTTCGCAATGACACGAGCTGCAAAGCAATTCAGTCAAGGTTAGTGTTGTAAGGGCATGTTCGTCCAGTCCATGGAAAGAGGGGGAAGGATGGTCCAAGAGCACATCATTTTCTTTGAAGACTGAACATCTGTTAGGGGAATTTGAAATTATAGATAAGCAGAACCGTTGAGTTGGTTCTTGATCTCATTGAATGTGTATGTTTTGCTCTGGGAACTAAGACGCGGATTTTCCCAAGACTGCTATTCAGGGCTATATTTTCTCCCTGTGATGTGTAAAGCAGGCATTTCTTTACAACCTCTGGATTTAGGAAGTCTGCCGCCTTAATAGCTTGCAGATCTATATCTGGGTATCCAAATCAGAGGCTTTGAACTTTGCCCATCAGAATCCCACATTGACATTTCCTCTTTCTGTCACATGAGCGCCAAGCTTAATAGACACATGGAAAGTTTCCTTTACACCTCTTAGTCAAGGCAACACTGGGAATTTGGGTTTATGGAATGTGCCGGCAGCTCGGCTCTGTCTTGGCTTCTCCACCCTTGGCTTGGTCTATGGCCCAGTGTGATGCAAGTTATGTGTAGCTCAGAGCTCTCAAATTAACTGCTGGAGCGTGCTTGGGCCCAGGAGCCTTCAGGAGGGTGGGAAGGGGCGTGGGGGGGCTCCAGCTGGCCTCCCACTGTGAGCAGGGTTACTGCTGTTTGTAAAGACTCAGGCCATTAACTTATTCAGGAAACCTGCCCTGATTCCCACCCTCGCCCTGGGCCCCGTGGGACACTGGGATTATCCCATCTCAAGCGTTTACCACAGTGCACTGAAAAATCTGCTTGTGTGTCTCTTCTTAACTAGGCCAGGCGCAGCTCGACATCGGAGCCCTTCCACATCCAGCATGGTGTGTGACATACGGGGACATTCAACACAAGGGGTCAGGGCAGCTGGACAGGTTGTTAGGCCAAGAGAGCTGGCTTCGGGAGCGATGGCGATGAGGGTGGTGGCCACGGCAGTGAGGACCACGGTGGAGGCACCTCCTGATTGTTGGAGGTTACCCAGCAGCTGCAAATAAACGCGGTGACTTCATCTTGAGTTTACAGATGAGAAAACAGACTCAGCAAGGTCCAGCCTTAAAGGCAGAGTGAGTTAGAAAGGGTGAGTTGGGGGACTGATGGGAGGAATTGGAGACCCTCGCTGCCTCCGCTGGACACAAGCTGCTGAGCTAATGCCCCTCTGCTGTCTCTTGATACAGGTAACATTGCTGTCATCTTCCAAATCCGGTCTGCACAGGTCACAGGTGGGGCTGTTCAGATGGCGCCTCCTCCATGGCCCCAGAGAGCCTCCTGCCCAGGGCTGCTCGTGGCCCTCAGCCTCTTCAGCATCAGTGTGGCTGGTGTTGACCTTAAGGCGTTTTGCTCTAGGCAGTTTATGGTGAGTCTGTGGTCTCTTGCAGTGCTGCTCCCTGGATGGGACTCCTGGCCTCCACTTTCCAGCTGTGTGATCTTGGACAAGTTGCTTGACTTCTCTGTGCTGAGTTTCCTGCTTTGTAGAAGGGGCGAGGAGGGTTATCCCGACGAGTCTCTGTTCTCATGCTCGCAAAGCCCCTAGGACTATGCCGAGCAGGTAGCCATGTTTGAAGTCAGGTCACTGACTCTGTCCCTGTTTCCTCCGGTTGCCGCTGCCCAGGTCTGCAGAAACTTCACATCTTCTGAGGATGCAGGGGAGTGGGTGGGATGTTTGCTGAGACTCGGGGGCGGGAGAGCATGGGGCTGACGTAGATGGACCTGAGAGCCATCCTGTCTGCCTGTTACTCCAGGAGGTGTTCTCGATGGGGCCCAAGGTCTCTTCTTAACTAGGCCAGGCACAATCATTCCCTGGCCAAGGTCTCCGGTCACCTGGTCCTCTGGCCTGCACCCCATTCCCATCTGTCAACATCTCCTCCCCCCCTTCTCCCTGCCTCTCTCTCCCTGCTCTCAGCCCCCAGTTTGTGTCTGGCTCCTGGCGGGCATGAACTCCCAGACCCCAGCGTTTCTGGAAACAAAAGCCAGGTGTCTCGGCTTTGGCCTCTTAACACAAACCTCCCCGAGGCAGGGCCACTGAGAGGTCTGGCTTCCTTTGCAGAGGGGAGAGCCGGCAAACGCTGAGATAAAAACACAAATTAATATATCAGGGAATGATCCCGCCACGCTGACATGCTCTCTAATCAGGAAGACAGCAAAAACGTGGGAGGGTGCCAGGAAAGGGGCTGGAGGCAGGAGGGAGGCCAGGACAGAGCTGCAGGAGGAGCGGCTTCCCGGCTTCAAAGCCTGAACTTTTCCCCCGAGATTTCACTGGGTGTGCGGGAGACCAGCTACTGCTGCCAGTGGGAAAGGGCTGGGCAGGCCCGGCAGAGGCGGCGGGTGAAGCAGCCCCAGAAGGCAGAGGAGGCAGGCGCAGGAGAGCCAGGCTCGAGGGGCCGTGGGGGCTGAAGGCTGTTACTAGAGTGGACAGTCAGATGTGGATTTGGAGAGCTGGAAACAGCCAGGTCCTGTCTGTGCTAGGAGTGGGCACCCTGTGGTGTCCTGATGTCTCACTACCCCCTCTCCAGTGGATCTGCTCACTCCCATTCCCAAGATGAGAAAACTGAGGGTGTAGAGGTGGAATGGATTTGCCTAGTGTCCTCAGCCATGGGGGGCTGGAATCAGATTTCCAGCTAGAGAATTCGAGGCTGGAGATGATTCACTTCAGCTCTGGCTGATCAGGCTCCCCAGAGACAAGCCCGTGTTCTGATCTGTGGTATCAGGAATTAATTTACCCTCCCCTGGGGAACGTGGTGGAGGATCATAAGGAGGTATCTATTAGAATGAGAAGAAATGAAGATGTAAGAGAAGCATGGTCTTCTCCCAGGACGTTACTATGAAAAAACCTTCAAGTGAAGGAACAAGCCTATCACATCCAAAAACTGATGAAGCTGGCATACTGTAAGAGACAACAGGTAGAGCAGATTATAGATGTGGAAACTGAGGCCTGGGGAGAGTGGGTGGCCGGGCAAGTGAACAGGAGACAGAGAGCAAGACAGAACATGGTCTCCTGGCGTGAAGTCCAGTGACGGTAGAAGGATGGATGTTCTCTGTCATGGGGACCCGCAGCCCCACGCTCAGGGGCTATCAGAAGAGAGGAAAATCATTCCCTGGACCCCATGCTAATAAGTGGCCTCACAGCTCAACTTGAAGGTCGAATGTGAGGACTGTACAGCTGGGAAGGGAAAAGGGATTTTCAGGCAGGTCCCAGTTTAAGTGTGGGGTTCAGCAGAGGAAGAAGAGAGTTGGGGTTCAAGATGGAAGTAAACATGGTGGAGGAGAGTAAGCAAATCAAAAACAGGCAGAGCTAGGATGAAGAAGAAGTGAAGAGGGCCCTGAAAGTGGTGTCCAGAAAGTTCTTGGTCTGCAGTTTGGAGAGGAAATTGGTGGGAAAGAAAGGAGGAAGTGAGAAGAGAGGGAGGTGGGGAAGAAAGCCACCATGTGTATGATCTCAGGTTGTCCTCAGAAACTGGAAACACTGCCTGTGTTCCAGGGATCTGTGCAGTCAGAGTGTGTGGGAAGGGGAGGGAAGGGGGCAGGAGAGGAAACACCTGTGGAAAGAGGGTGTGGGAGAAGTCACGGCCACACCCAGACCAGAAGATTCAGGCCAGTTGATGGACATTGTGATGAGGAAGGAAAATAGCATCACCAGTTACAGCCAAAATGAAATAAATAAATAAATAAATAAATAAATAAATAAATAAATAAAAAGGGGTGGGGGGGCAGCAAAAGGAAGACTACAAAACCAGTGTTCTTTTTAGAAGTTTCTAGAATCAGAAATGGAGTTGCATTCACTATTAGTTCAGTATTTCCCAAACATATCCTATAACAGCTCCTTATCTTTGCTACACTTAAAGACTATCTTTTATAACATAGGGAGCTATGTTTTTAGTTGTAGCACTAAGATGCATGTTATTTCCTCCTAAATTCTATATTTTGTAATTATGGCACAATCTGAGTTTCGAATGGCGGCTAATAGTTCTTCCCATTCTTGTTGCGTTCACAGGGCCTGCTGATGTGTGACCTTTCATAAGGAATGAGCAGGAAATCCAGACTTCTGTTAGAATTTTCCATAAGTATCATGGGATTTTGAGTGTTGGCTTTGGAGACTTCCAGAAGTGAATGTCTGAGTATGGTGCTCCGTGCTCTCACAGCTATTTTCACTGCCCTCAGGATTTTTCTTGCATCCTTCCTTAGTTCCTAGCTTCCATTCAGAGAGCTGAATTTTCCAGCTAATTGACCTCCAAATAGTTGAAGCATGATTGTGTTATTGCTACTAATATTGGCATTGCATAAAAGCAACAAAGTCAGCCTGCAGATTATATACTACAGAGGCCCTTTAAAGAAACAGTTAATCCAGAGATTAGGCTGCATATTTTGAGGACTTTTTCAAATTTTTATCATGGATACATGCTCATCTGATGTTAGCAATAGTGGTGAACATATCATTTGTCAAATGATAGTGACCTGTATTATGGAAATACATGACGACCTACTAGCGAGGCTAAAAAGCCCAAAAACACAGCCAAGACTGAACACACTCCTCCTCTCCCACACTCTCACCAGTCAAGGGTGTCGTCTCACTTGTAGAGTTTGCACTATTTTCTGCAAGTGAGTTTAATCAGGCATCTCCTGGGGGATGTTCCAGTACCTTTCATTTTATGCATCTTTTTATAGTAAACAACAAAACTAGAATTGAAACTGAAGAAATCAAAGCTGTCTCCTTGCCATGAAACAGATTCTATCACCAAATGTATTCTTATCATCAACTGCAGTGCTTTTACCCCCAAGATGTTTCTGTGGGCCAGTGCAAGAAAGGGGGGTACATAAAGGAAACTGAAGGTTAATACTGAAATGGTCTCCAGGTGAAGGGTAATGGTGGTGTCACTGCATGCTACATTTAGGTAGCTGTTTTCACATCAGACCTTACTTTGATCACTCCATCCCATTTTATTATGAAAATTAAAACTCACTCTGAAAGCTGAAAGGATTCAATCTAGAAGCTACAATGAACATTTTACTCTTGTGCTTTATATTCTGTCTTGCCCTCTGTCCATCCCTCAATCCAACCAACGTATTGCTTTTCGATGCACTACAAAGTAAGTTGTAGATATTGATGATTTTACCCCTGAACATTTCAGTATGTGCTAAATAGGTCTCTATAGTTGTCTACAGGATGTTCCCCCCCCCCCACTGTGGAGACAGATACAATGTCAAGTACAAATTATAATATCTTTAGATTTATTTTGGCAAATATCTGCAACTCTGTAACTCAAGTGACTTTCAAGACCTGGACTACCGCCATCGTCCTGGAGCGTTCCCTCATGGCCAGCCCATCCCATCCCTACCCATTCTCCCACTGATGTTTTTATTTCACCATAGATTAGTTTTGCCTATTTTAGAATTTCATGCACACAGTCGTACTGTAAGAATGCTTTGTGTGAGGCTTTTACTCAGCATAATGGTTTTCAGATTTATACATGTAGTTAGGTGATGGCTAGGCTATTTTTTATTGCTGAATAGTATTCTACTGTAGGAATGTAACATCTGAAGCTATTTTAAGAGGGATAGCATATGCGATGCAAAGAGTTTCCAGAGAAAAAATTACAAGATGATAAGAGTTTGGGAGAGGAAGGCACGCTCCAGATATTATCATTAAAAAAGAAAAAAAGCACATTTGCAACCAAGATGCAAAAAAGCAAACATTGTACAAAAAGGAAGAATGATATAAAATAAAATTCCACCTGCCCGTGTTAAACACAGAAACACATTTAGGTAAGGGCCTGAGACTTGCCTTCAAATATTTAAAGTAGGGATCAGCAAAAGTTTTGTTAAGGTGCCAGATAATAAATATTTTAAGCTTTAAGCAGCCATAGGGCTGCATTAAATTTGCAGTTACTTTATTCTAACTCTGCAGTAGAGTGAGAATAGCCTTAGCCCAAATGCAAATGAAGAAGGGGGCTATAGACTTTATTTATGCACACTGAGATTCAAATTTCATATGATTTTCATGCATCACAAAATATCATTCTTTTTTATATTTTTCCCTACCATCTGACCGTTTGAAATCCAATCAACTCATGGCTCACAAGAAATGGGCTGTCCTTTGCCAATCCCTGTAAGAAAAAATTTTGAAACCAAGGACAAAAGAATGATTCTGAGCCTGTTGTGTGCTAGTGGGTCGTAGGAAGACCGCAGGAGGCACTGAAGCTCTTTTTCTGGACTAGGGTGGAAATGGACCCTCTTTCCTCATTCAGTCTCTGCCTCTGTCCCCTCTGGTGGTATAGGATGAAAGGGGTGGTCTGTTCCTTCCATTTCCAGCTCCTCTTTGTCTGGCTGTTTGACCTCCAGCAAGTATTTTAACCCCTTCTTGTTTCTAGATGTACGTCTAAGATGGGAGGCATTGTAATGATTCAGTGTGTTAGCATCTAAAAGTTCCAGCACAAGGCTGGCTTACAGTCAGTACCCAGTACATTTAGTCCCGTGTCTGCGCCTTCTAAGTACGAAGGAAGTGTTTGTCGTTGCTATCGTGGTAGTCATCATGTTTATTACCGTCGTTATAGTTATTATCACTAGGGGTGGGTCGGCATCTGTGAGAATTTTGTTGAAGGAATGCCTCCTTTTCATGGTAGACTGAACTAATAGATGCTTCTTGTTCTAACAATCACAGTTCTCTTCAATTCAGTGCCTGGGGCCTCAACCCAGAGCCTCAACTGTTGTTGAAATGTGAGAAAAAAACAGTGTAGTTTTTTAGTTATTAATCCTAGCTGGTCTACACAATAAGGTAAGGAGTATTTAGTTTCTGCTTGATCTTGCTGATGTCGATTCAGTCTTAGCCTTACCTCTCTGGGTATCTTGTTAATCACAGGGGCTGATGCAGGTACTGCTTGGTCATGAAGCTACTTGAAATTTTTCTCCTGAGGAGAGAGTGAGGGAGGTGCTGCTCTTTGCTTTGTGATGGGAAATGTGTCACACTGAAAACGTTACGTCAGGACATGGTGTTTCCTGATGGCGGTGTTCACCTACAGGGTGGTACCGAGTCATTAAGTCTCCGTGAACACCTGTACCACAGGATCTGGGCTGGCAGACGGTGCCCCATGCCCATCGCGATTGCTGATGCCAGTTCAGAGGGAGGACTGAGAGTAAAGCTGACCCTGGTGGGGCTCCACGGGTCCCTTCTTGTCCCCCGGTTTGAATTCTTGTTCCATCTTGTCTTTGTTTATTGGCCTCTGACGTGGTATTCCCAAGCCTGTTTATTTGTTCTGGTATCTGATTTATTTCAGCTTTATCTCTGCTTGCTGACTGGAATGATGGCCCTCGGAGAGGTGGCACTAGGGCAGATGAGGAGCCCTCAGCAATATCTTCATTCTCTAGGTGGGGAAACCAAGGCACAAGTGAGATAGCCCGTGCACTCCTCACGGCATCCAGTCCTGTGCTTTTATGACGACACCCAAATCTTGGTCTGTCAGCGGTCTGATGTGGGGGTAGCTGGTGGTGGGGGCAGGAAGACCAGATGGACATGAGTTCCACATTCATCCTTGACATTCAGAGTTTTGCATTCTTTCCACATAAAGATATGCCATAACTGGACTTAGTTTCTCTATTATAGAGAATATTCTCAGATCACTTTCATGAATATTAAGTATGAAAACCTAATCCACGTTTTGAATGCTGTTTGGGGATGTCTCTATTATTTCATCTACTGGAATATCAGAGTGTGGCATTGGTCTCAGCCTTTCTGGAACCCTGAAAAGCCTTGCTGATGTCAGAATGAAATCATAGTATTTAAGTGGACAGGGGAGTTAGAGAGATGGCGAAGGCCCAGAGCTCTATCAAGGTAGACATTGATTGACATTAGATGATAAGTTAAAAAACCAAAGTCAATAAAGAAGAGATGGGAAAGTAATAGAAAGGAGGAAATAGCCTGCTAGTGGGAAAGAAGGGGATTGGTGGGCCACAGCCATCTTCAAGAAGTCCAGGGTTAGGGGGAGAGGCAAACACTCCCAGCCTTTGACAATAAAACTCAGGGGTACCCCCAGGAACTTCCCTATTTCCATACCACTTAATACAAACAGTGTGATCATCTCATGTGTTTTTTGAAGCATGGAAATATTTGAATGGACTCTTACTATTTTCTACCTTGACCTGAAGGGGGAATTACATGCTAGAAAGTTCCCAGGTTGCCCTGAGAATTATCAATTTCAGGGTGAATGCTTATTGCCTCCTAAATGGTGTTCTCAACTTTTGAGGTTTAATAACAATTGCTTTATGTGCAAATGGATGTTGCTTTCAGAGTAGAATGTAAAATAACACGCTGACATGAACTAACTTGTTGACTGACCTATATTTTGTCAAAAGACGTATCTGTAAAATGGGAGAATCGTCTGAACTCCTTGAGCAAAATACCTATGCTAATGAGTGCTTTGCTCATTTGAAAGTGGCCCATGCTGAAGACTGACTCATTCGTCCAAGCAAAATTGTTTTGGAGGTGAATAAGGAAGTCTGCTATGCAAACAAGGTGAAAGCATAGGATTTGTTTATCACAGAGGAAGTTCTGAGATCACTCCTGTCCATTAGAGGTGCTTGTGCAGGGTCATTGATTTTCTACGAAACAGTCCATTAGAGACCTGCTTTTCCTTTCAAGTTCTTTCTGTTCCCTTCACCCTCTTCAGAACACCCTGAAGTGGACATGCATATCACTGGGTCAAAATTAAAAAAACGAAAGAAAAAAAAGTAACACTTAGAACAATGAGAAGTTTATTTTATTATCCAACAATCATGAGTATTTTCATTTTAATGAAGTAAATACTCATCATGAGCAAGAGAAAAACCCAGCCAACTGTCTGCTAAGATGTGCATTTTGTCAAGATGCCTGCTTTAGGCAGCAAAAGTGGCTGAAAGGAATCACTGATTTCCCACCACGAAGAAGGATGTCTTTAAAGCTGTGGCAGAAGTGTTTGTTTAGAGTGGGGAGGGGATCAAGATTTTCTGGTATTTACAGCGGAAAAAACAACCAGACCAGCCTATCTTTTGGAAAAGGAATGCATGGTTAAAGTGGCTCAGCTTGTCC